ACACACACACTGAGCTAACATCCGGTGCTCAGTACAGAATGGACTGCCCCTTTGTTCCCATGGCAACAGTCACAAACATCCTGCCTGGCTTTCCAGCCACAAGCAGCTGGCTGAGCTGCTAGAGCCTTTGCTTGCTGCAGCATTGGTGCTTTATGGTAACATACTCCCCCTAAAGTATCAATGTGTGCTGCGAGCAAAGCGTCATCCAGAGAAGAAAACAAACAGTTGTTATATTTATAACATTCCCCTGTTGTTTCAGTTCCACCCTTGGAACTACCCGCCACTGGTTTAACCAATGTACCTCTCTGGTTGTGTGACTTCGCATTACCTTGGTTAACACCTCTCTGTTGTGCCTTTGTCTCTGACTCAGACACAGCTTCAAGCTGTCCTTGGGTTGTTAACAATAGCAACATATGCAAGGTTAGCAAACTCCTTTGAATACCTCTTGGGTGGTACACCCTTCGTTGCTCTCTCAGACCTACGTATGAGGTTCTGATCCTCTGTGCTCACTGGTTCAACCTTTGGACTCTGTTGAGAACCAGTAGCAATCAGTGGTTCTTCCTTCACCTGTGAAGGTCTATCCATTGTGTGAGATTTCCTCTCAATGACTGTTACAACTGAACTCTCTGAGCTCTCACTGTCATCATCAGTACTACTGAACTCAATAAGATCAAACTCATCATCATCATCATCAGAATCGTTTCCTGTGGGAAATGTTTGTACTATCCGCTCTTGCTTTGGAGCACTCTCTAGGAACTTTGTGAGAATCACCTGACCAGATTCAGACAAAATTACTCTGTAGAGACCTTTTTCATAACCCACAAAAATGCCTCTGGCATTCTTTACTCCACCTGGAGCTTCTGTTCTCACATGAGACCCGAAAACCTTAAAATAGGCAACAGAAGGTTTTCTATTGAACAGCTTCTCAAAAGGAGAACATCCCAACTCTGTTGAGACCTTTCTCAACCACACATGAAGATAGGACGCTAGCGACTCAGCCCAATATTCATGTGGCAAATGTGAACTCAGCAATTGCGCATTCATCCCCTTTTGCAATTCTTTGTTCACTCTTACACAGACCCCCCTGTTCCACGCTTCTTGCGAAACTGCCACTTTGTGGTCTATCCCTTTCCATCCAGGAACTTCTGAAACTTCTGCAACAGAAAAATTTGCTTCTCATCTGTGAAAAGACAATCAATGTTAGCATCATGCATACTTTTAACCTTGTCACAAAACTCCTGAAACTTTTCTAAAGTTTCTTGCGGTTTCTCCATCATATAAACCCAAGAATAATTAGTGAAACAATCCACACACACAAGGTAATATCGTGCACCGCCTCTAGATGGTTCTAGAGGACCAATCACATCAGCATACACCCGCTGAAATGCTCTGTCGACCTTCTTCGTCTTAGTCACCTTCCTGGTGCTCACACTGGTCACTCCTGCAAGAGAGATTTCGTTAGAAACAGCAGAATTACATTTCATGTAATCACTTTGATCAAAAGTCAACAAATACAGTCCATCTTTCTCTTTGGCAGTAAGAAACAGTTCTCCATCTTTGTAGATCTTGCAGCTTTTAGCATCATAGGACAGTTTCAGTCCTTTCTTTGCAATCTGCGACACGCTCAGCAGATTAAATCTCAGTTCTGGAACCAGGTAAACATCACTTATAGTCAAGTTCAGACTCTCAAGATACACAGTCCCAATTCCAGTTGCTTCCAACTCCTGACCGTTGGCCTGTTTCACAGTGAAGCTTTGCTTCTTCAACGTCGAAAACAGTCCTCTGTGCGGGCACATATGAACCGTTGCGCCCGTGTCAATTATGAACGAGTTCCCAACATCTGGCGTGGTTCCTTTCGCCATCATAGCCTTTGCAGGTTTCACCTGGCACTTGGAACGGCTTGCCTGACGCCTGAGGCTTCGTAGAGCTGCTCTTTGCTCCTCTTGACTGGCGCGGCTTCTTACAGTTTCGCTGTAGATGCCCAGTCTGTCCACAATTGTAGCATCGGACAGCACTCAATGCTACACCATGCTCTCCAGTAGCATCAGCAGTGGGGAATTAGAACTCTGTTCTTCCCTCCCCCTGTCTTTTTCTTCCAGTGCAGCAAGTCTGTCGTGTTCATTCAGGACCACAGCACAAACTCTCTCCGCGGTCAGCTGCGCGGCCGGTAGGGAACCAAGCTGACTGGCAACAACCTTGTAGGTGCGGCTAAGGCTGTTTATCATCATGAAGCAAAACACTTCCTCCTGAAGACGAAAATTGCGTTCCACCATCTGTTGACGCAGAAACTTCATTTCTGTCAGGTGCGCTTGAACATCTCCATCAGGCGCAAGTCTCAGATTGGTCAATTTCTCAAAATACAGCAACGCTGAAGAACCAGCATCTCTCTGATGCGTTGTACGCAGCGTGTCCCATACCTCTTTCGCATTTTCTAAATGCTGAACATGCACCAACTGATCATCTGAGACACACAGAATTATAGCAGTCCTGGCCCTTACATTCTGTGACTCCCAACCTCTGGTTGGTGCTGCAGGGATGGGGTTTTCAATTACATCAAAAAGCCTCTGATTCTGCAGCAGGGCCTTCATCTTTACAGACCAAGATGAATAATTGTCATTGGTTAAGGGAGGAGGGCAAGGCAAAGCTCCTTTCTTGGCATCCATCTTGAAGCCAAGCCTCCAGCTCACAATGTCAAACAAACTGTAAAATCCAACAGTTGTTTTTTTTTCCTTTCTCACGCAGCAAACTGCAAATTGTTTACGCTCTTTGCACCTGGCAGCTAAACTCAGGCTGCTATTGAAAAGTCCCTTCCAAGAGCTCGTAAACCTTGTAGCCAAAACATTCTCTGGTTTTGTTTCGCTTTCCCAGGCTTACACTCAGAGTCCAGCCCCTTTGCCAGTAACTTTCCAGGACCGTTACCTAGCAACAATGCATTTCAATAAGACATCTTATCTACCACAAAAATTTGTGGAATGCAGGCTTCAGCCTTCAAGCTGCAGGCCTCTTCTCCCGGAGCTCTTGTTTTCTTTGAAACGCAGCTCCGTGAACCAGGAATTAATCTTCCTGCGTTCACACTTTTAGCCCGAAATGCAGCATACCTTGAGCTCCGTTGCTCTGGGAAAACACCTCTTCTTTCCACCAGCTGTCTGTGGAGCCTCTGGCTTCTTTCAGACGCTTTCTCTTCCTCCTTGGAGCAGAGGAGGACAATCCACCAGCCTCTCATGCAGATGTCCGATGAATCGCAACCATCCTCTGCTACCACTGTTGGAATTCTGCCTGGGTCAGAGGAATGTGCCACAGCGTAGGCACCGGCAGATATTCCTGTCGACCTCCCCGCGTCTCCACTCTGCTGATAAGCAGGCGAGGTCCAGCGATTCTTCTCAGATGTATGAGAGGAACACACCGTTCTTCCTCTCTCCCCTTTGGTGTCCCCAGGGAGGGGAAGAAGCAGACAGAAAACTATTTACATCATTTATTTCTGCCTCTTACATCAGTACAGAGAATCATGTCTGCACTCAACAACAGCAAGAAGAAACTCCTCCCAAGTACATCCAGTACGGGTCATATGACACACACACACTGAGCTAACATCCGGTGCTCAGTACAGAATGGACTGCCCCTTTGTTCCCATGGCAACAGTCACAAACATCCTGCCTGGCTTTCCAGCCACAAGCAGCTGGCTGAGCTGCTAGAGCCTTTGCTTGCTGCAGCATTGGTGCTTTATGGTAACAGTAACTTCCTCAGTACTTTACAGAAATGGCACTTTTACCAAAGTGCCAGTAGATAACAAGCATCCGAGCTGTAAATACATATGTAAAAGGAGCTTAGGATAGACTTCCCCTGTAATTTTATATATTAGCCTAATATTGTGCTCTTCTCTGTGAACAAGATACACTTTCCACTGTCTAGGTGAGCATAAGATTGCCTTCTATTTTAAAATAATCGGTCCAATCAATACACAAATCCCCTTGCTCCCACTGTTTTCCTTTCTTTACAATTTCCTGGGATGATGCTTATAAGTATATAACTAAATAGTCCCACTGTTACTCTGTTTCTCCTTCACGACAAGCGTCAATCTTCCCAGCACCATTAAGCAGAGAGATTTTCTCTTGCTATTGCTCCAATTTTCAACAGCTTTAGTACACAGATGCAGCTCAAGTTATTGAAGCTGTGCTTTAAAATTTTCAGACTTTTTCATCCACTCGTTATTTTTTTAGGGGTGGATATTGTACATGGTACATTTTCCTGTTTTTTCTCATTAAGCAATGGGAATTGTCTTCATTGCTTTTTCATTTGTTTTGAGCTTTAAATCCCCATTCTCACTGTGTATCTCTGCTTCTAGAATGGAAAGCCATTGCTGGTATTTATTGTATGAAACTAATAGGCTTGTACAGTTACTTGCTGCACTAAGTAACTGTCCCAATAGTGCAAGGATTTAGGTTTGTGCAATGTGTCTGTCTCCCTTCTCATTTCACAGCGCCCTCCTTAATTTGTTCTAGGGTTCCCTCAACCCTCCAGAGCAGATCTGGGAAACTCATGGCAGGGGGGGGGGGAGAGAGAGAGAAAGTCCCATTGCACAATTGGAAATCCTCATGCTGACAAGACAGTTACTAGCACTCTGTCAGATACAAGCCATGAAATCCTATTGACATGAGTCTGTTCCATCTTCAATATGTTGCCCACTTATTCAGACCAAGGAAGCAAACACCTGTGTGCAGTATATTCCTTTACACATAGAGACCTGATTCCTCCATTGGTACTGAAGAGCTACCATCCCTGAGTATGTTGAAACACGTGGAACTGTCTGGTTAGTGAAGATGTTTGTTTGATGTATGACTTTCTCTTGAAATGAGTCGGTGAGGTGTGGTCAGAGTATCTAGGGTCATGGAGAGCCAGCTTCCAATCCCAATTCACTCAATGATGCTCATTGGGTGAGTGATATTGGACCCAGTCACACAATGTCTCAGCCTGACCAATCTCACACTATCATAAGGCTACAGTGAGGGTACAGTGGGAGGACCGTGTCCAGGGCCATGAAAGGTGGTATGAAAATGACATATAGCTAGTAGAAATTACACTGAATGAGCCCATTGGTCCATGCTGTCTACACTGACTGTCCACAGTGTCCCATCATGTTAAGCTGGACGGTAGCTAGAATAATGGGGAAAGCCATGGAACAAGACTGGAATGGAATGTGGGAAACCTGCTTATTCCTATGGTAGATATATCCTGTCTTAAGGAAGTTGTGTCCTATTTTTTCCATAGTCCTGGAACACTTCTTGAAAACCAGGCTTTGGAGAAAGAGATTAATCCAATTCACCCAAGGTATTATGAATCATTAACTGGCTAGTAATATGTGGTTTGTCTTTATGACTATTTAATGAAAATCATATTTTATATGATTTTTTAAAAACACACACACATGAATTTCCAGGGATATTTGATCCACAAACCATCCACTAAAACCTTTTCTTCCTGGAATCTACTGTGCGGTGAGTAGTAAAATGGATCATATTTTTCTTATGCAATCAGAGCACTTTCCCCATTACTTTAAGTTTCCAGATTCCACCAGTTTATATACCATCTTTTCCTTTTAAGTATCTGTACTTTACTGTAAGATCAGAGGGAGCCTTCTGAAAATAGGAATGAAGTGTCATGCCACCTTAGCCTTTGAACAGCTTTGAATTATTTCCCTGTAATCATTACTGCAGATTAATGGCATCAAAGAGCGGTTGTGCAGCAGGATTTTCTTTTTTTTGAAAAGCTTCTAATAAATATATCATTATAGCAAATCATACCATCCATGTAGGGTTTCTTCCCTTGGCTTGCAAAATGTATGAATTGCTTTTTACAAATTTTAAACGATGTGATTCTAGCAACCCAAGGGCAACCTCAAAGTCGACCAGAACATCCTTAAGACATTTGCACCTACGCAGCAAAGGTGACCTATGAGCAGAAATATGTTTCTCTTCATAGAGTGCTCTTCCAGATAGGATGCCAGTATACCCTTGAGTGCTGTGTATTTGTGGTGGGGGCCTCTTGCATCCAGCCCCTGGGGCAGGAGAGAGCACTGCATGGCCACCAATCAGATGCAGAGTTGGTGCTGTCAATTTTGAACGGGCTGATAATTTCTTGGGTAGGGGAGAATGATGGATCAAGGTCCTTCACTCTTTCTAACAAGTTTTTGATGAGGGTACAGTTGAGTCCAACATCCTGATACCAACACAAAACAAGACAAAATTCTGGATAGGCTTCTCACAGTCATCTGGTTGGCCACTGTGAGAACAGGATGCTGGACTAGATGGGCCATTAGCCTGATTCAACAATCTCGTCTTATGTTGTTGGGCTCCTGACCACTGGTCATGTTGACTGGAGCTGATGGGAATTAGAATGCAACAACATCTAGAGGGCATAATTTGGCTGCTCCTGATTTATGCTGTTAGAAGAGAGATCTGAGGATCAAATGAAATGAGACACCATTAATGCAATTAGCAATTGTGTGAATGAATAGTTTTGAGAGTATAAATAGCAGGTGTGGATGGCTCACTCTGGCACATATGGAAGTCCCACCCCTCTGATACAGCCCCCCTTCCTCCATGGAGGCCACAACAGGGTCAAATGGTTAAAGCTTCCATTTTCTCCTTCCCCAGGGTTATAATCACACCTGCTATTTACACTTTAGAAATCATTCACCCAATTGCTAATTACACAAATGTTACCACACTTAAGAGCTAGCTGAAGAGTCTTTGGGGATCCAAGAGACTTCTTAGAATTTAGATGAGGCAAATAACTTCATGGAGTATATCTGAGGAATTAGTAGAGGCCCTGAAGAATTGGATGGGAAGGCATGAGGGAGATTCCATCAGCCTGAATGTTGCTACATTTATATCTCTTCTTCTTCCTGATGTGGGCTCCCTGGTTTGGAAGCTCTAGTTCAGGCACAGGCAAACTCGGCCCTCCAGATGTTTTGGGACTACAACTCCCATCATCCCTAGCTAACAGGACCAGTGGTCAGGGATGATGGGAGTTGTAGTCACAAAACATCTGGAGGGCTGAGTTTGCCTATGCCTGCTCTAGTTCATGCAGAATGTAGTAATCTGACTCCTGATGGAGTGTTACTCCTTTGCTAAAACACCTGCATTGGCCAGGCTGAAGGTTTCTGTATTAATCTACACAGCGGTCAACAACTTGAGCCAGGATACCTGAAAGATTGCCTAAACCCCCTTATCCTAGTTTGATCACTGAGATTATCCAGAAGAGTGCTTTTATTTGTCTCCTGGGTTATGGAGTTCCAGCTGGCATCTTCTAGGAGTTGGGCATTTAGTGTTGTTGGTCCCATGCTGTGGAGCACTCTTCCAGAAGAGATTTATCAGACACACTTGCTTTTGGTTCTTGAAGACCTTTTTGTGTAGACAAGCTGATGTAACTGTTTAATTTTTTTGATCAGCCAATCATTTTAATCAGAGCTTTTTTCAGCTGGAATTCACTGGAATTCAGTTTCAGCACCTTTTAGGTGGATGCCATTTCCATCATAAAACAAACAAGGGAGGCGTTCTGGGTGAGTTCTAAAAAAGAGCTCTGATTTAAACAATCATGTTTTACTATTTTTTATGTTTTCTTTAATATTTTATTGCATGTAGTGTTGTTCACCACCATGTTATATTGTATTAATTGGTGGTATATAAATATTTTTCTGAATATACAGTGGTACCTCAGTTTTTGAGTGTCTCAGAAGCCGAACCTTTCGGTTTTCGAACATCGAAAACCCGGAAGTAATTGCTTCTGTTTTCGAACACACCTTGGAAGTTGAATGGCTTCCACTGCATGTTTTTCAATTTTTCCATTTGAACTTGTAGCCAGCCCTTTGTGCCTTGGTTTTTGAACATTTTGGAAGTCAAACAGAGGTACCACTGTATCACCATCACCATAATATTTACATCTCTTTCCCAAGGGAGCCCAAGTTGGTGTCCCTGTTCCATTATCTCTCACAACATGGATGGATGTTGTGGATGGTCTGAGTGACTGGCTCAAGGTTTCCCAGAGAGCTTCATGAATGAGCAGAGTTTTGAACCATGGTCTGCAAGGTCCTAGTCCAACCGTTACCCTATGCTGATTCACACCAGACCATGCTGAACATTTTAGTTTTGGAAATCACTTCTGTTACTAATATGCTAGCAATTTTGACTCAGCCATCATTGTTAGATTTTCTTTTCTACAAGTCTGAACATTTTCAATACTTTGTCCTTCACCTTCATGCAACGCTTTTGTGAGACTTCGCCCCTTTCTCAACTACAGTAGCATTTAATTGAATGCTCTGAATAATCTTGCCTTCATTTACCGCTACTGCCAAGGGAGAAAATAATTTCCAGAAAATAACTTCTATATTGTACTTCGTTCCCGAATTGTAAAAAAAAAAAGTGCCAATGATTAATCAGCAATTAGCTGTGCATTATAGTTTTCTAGCTGCTTTACCTTTTCATTCCAAACGTCTTTTTACTATAATCTGAAATCATTATTTTAAGGACTAGAAGTGCTTGTGCCTGAGCACAAAATAAAAGACTTGCCATCATAAGTGGGTTTCGAGTGCCATGATAGCTGAATTTGAAACACTAAATAATCAGTTATTGATTTTTGATAAATAAAAACTATAGACGCTGAAAAGGCAAAGTATTCCAAGCACAATTCAAAGTGTTGGTGCTGACCTTTAAAGCCCTAAACAGCCTCGGTCCTGTATACCTGAAGGAGCATCTCCACCCCCATCGTTAAGCCCGGACATTGAGATCAAGTGCCGAGGGCCTTCTGGCAGTTCCCTCATTGCGAGAAGTGAGGTTACAGGGAATCAGACAGAGGGCCTTCTCGGTAGTGGCACCCTCCCTGTGGAACACCCTCCCTTCAGATGTGAAGGAAATAATAAGAAGAAGAGTTTGGATTTTATATCCCGCTTTATCACTACCCGAAGGAGTCTCAAAGCGGCTAACATTCTCCTTTCCCTTCCTCCCCCACAACAAATACTCTGTGAGGTGAGTGGGGCTGAGAGACTTCAGAGAAGTGTGACTAGCCCAAGGTCACCCAGCAGCTGCATGTGGAGGAGCGGGGAATCGAACCTGGTTCACCAGATTACGAGTCCACTGCTCTTAACCACTACACCACGCTGGCTTCCAGCAGCTATCCTATCTTCAATAAGCAGCTATCCTATCTCCAGCATCTGAAGGCAGCCCTGTTCAGGGAAGTTTTTAATATTTAATGCTGTATTGTTTTTAACACTTGATTGGGAGCCACCCAGAGTGGCTGGAGAAACTCAGCCAGATGGGCGGGGTATAAATAAATTATTATTATTATTATTATTATTATTAGTGCAAAATATACATAGGGGTAAGGGCTCACCCACACTTACCTTTTACCCCGCTGTTTCTAGGCACAAGTTCACGCTTTCCTGGTTCCTGTCTGAGCCCTTTTTCTTTTGCCCCACCACTTTCCCCAGGAAAACACACTCTTCAAAGCCGAATCGGAACAAATGGCAATTGGGGGTTTCTGCAAAATTAAAGAGCAGTTTTTTTAAAAAAATAATATTTATTACTTTTCCAACAATTTAAACATAACAATACAATACAATACAATACAATACAATACAATACAATACAAAAACACTACATAACATTGACACATTAAACACATTAAACTAGCAAAACAAAACAAAAACAATAAAATAAATCAAACAATTTCATTATCCCATCTTTCATTCACTTATTTCCACGACCTCCTCACACCTCCCTTTTTGTATTCCACTTCTGTTAATTGTTTCAGCAATTCCTTTCCATCTTTCTCTGTTTTCTATCCTATAATTATCTTAACACATTCTAATCTTATTTTAAAGAGCAGTTTTTATGCCAGGGAAAGCGGGGGGTGGGGCGCTCTGACATGGACTGGAAAAGGTTGGACCTGTGTGTAGAAAGTGTGGAAGAAAATTAGTGCAGATGAGCCCTGCATATATAGTCAGCTGTTAAATGAACTAAATGTTTGGTTATGTGAGCCTGCATCTGCAACCTGAAGCAGCATAATACATACGCACATTTATTGCCTCAGTGAACTCAGCCCTAGTCAGCAAGTGGGATTGAATTGTCCCTCCAAGTGAGAGTTCTGATATGGGCAAGCGGATCATATGAGCCTCCACTTTTTCCCACTGTGTCTTATTGGATCAGATCTGAAAGTTACTGGTCCATTTTCACAGTTTGATCAGTCAGCTGTAACATTCAAGGCCTGTAGCTGTTTGAACTGCTTCCTAATTGTTGGCCTTTGCTGCTTGTTGTTACATGAAAGTGCACTTCTGCAGTTCAATAATGTGAAGAAATAGCTTATTTCTCCACACCCAACACATTCTTCAGGCCCTCAGCATTTTCTTTTCTTTTTTTTCCATAAGCAAGTATAACTGACCTATCAAGAAAAAATATAAATCTGTCTTCAGAATATTTTGCTCCTCTTAATTAGCGTTGAGATTATTGTGGAACCACAATATTTTGTTCCTTCCTAGGGCATCAGTAGCTCACCAATGCCAAAATTACTGTAGTCATCAGAAGCTGTTTTGTGAATTACAACTATAAAGTACATCATTTCCTTTTTTTGCATTTCCTTTCCATCTGACCTCACTTCTTACAATTCCTCACCCACCCAACCATGCATATATGTGCCCGTAACTCTGGAGAATACTTCACGTGTCTGGTTTACAAAAGTTTACAAAAGCCTATGCCATGATAAATGTGTGAGTCTTCATGGTGCCTCAGGACTACTTGTTTTTGCTGCAAAAAGACTAACACAACTACACCTCTGGAGAATGTTACATTCTTCATGTTATACCTTTGCCAGTAGCAACAGGTATTAGAGCTATGAGCTGTGTCTGTTATAGTTATATTGCTGGATATGTCAATTGTGTGTGAACATTCCTCCCTGGAATTCCTCAGAGGTGAAAAGGTTATAGTATTTCTTTTTGTTTGACTATGAGTTTCCACGGTACCTCTGAAGTGCTGTGACACTGAGCTCCTATCTGGCAAGAATTAATACCGAAGGGCTGATTGACAAGGGTCTGCCACTACTTTAGCACAGAATGCCAAGGTTTCATACAGCCTCAGGCCAAGCAGCAACCACTGGTTCAGTTTGGGACTGACTGGAGGAGTCACCATGGCTCTTAGTCCGGTGCTCACAGTCTACAGCTTTTGGGTTATGTGCTACTGCAGTGCTCTCAGCTGTCATAACAGACTTGGAAGCTGTCGCTCAACCTGTAGGCCATACGGTATCCAGACACAAGGTGTGTCTAATGTCTACCAAGGTGTTAGAAAATGGCGGAGCAGAACTCTACCCAATAAATGTGTGTCTTTGGAGCAGGGGGACTATACAGTAGGTATGTGAAGTGCACCCTTAAGGCCAGAAGGGTTTCTTTTGAGAGCATCTTCTATGAAGACACATTGTATAGCTATATTTTATCTCTAAATACACATACAGTGATACCTTGGTTTACAACCATAATCCGTTCCAGAGGCCCGATTGCAAACCAAAACAGGTTGTAACCCAAAGCGCGCTTTCGCCAATGGGGCCTCCAAAAAAAATTGGTTGTAACCCCAAAAAAGGGGTTGTAATCCAAAAAAAGGGACACACACTTCATGGTTTGACGTGATTGTAATCCAAAACGGTTGCAAACCCAAGGTACCACTGTATTCAAATTACCAATATTTTCAATGCTGAAAAAGTATACTGATGCAGTATGTCACACTGTTTGGTTGTTATAAATGCTGGTTCTGATCCAGAGCCCTTGGAAGTGTGGTGGATCATAATTCTTTCCTAAATAAACCATAAGGATTGCAGAAGATATTGACGCCCATGACAGGTAATGGAGGAATGCAGTGGTAAATGTTGAGATTGTTTAGAACAGAATGGAGAGAGATGGGTTTTATCATGATGGCAGCAAGTACGCAGCAAGCTCATCTAATGGTGTCTTTGCAAATTCCTCCTGTTATGTAATTCTGCCCCAGTAGGTATTCTCTTCACACAAGCACATCACCAGGAATGTAAATTTATTTGCACCCCCCTTTACCGTTTGCAAAGTGCAGTCACAATTCGGTGCAGCATCCCTGTGCCTGGGATAAAAAAACTATTTTGCTTGCTAATGCTTATTTTTCAGGTATTTGGCAAATGGAATCCTTAATCACACAGACACAAAAAAGACAGAATGTTGTCAACATTCCTCTGAATAAATATCTCAACAAACTTTTTTTTTTAATTAGAGGAGATTCCATTCACTCCTGGAAAGATGCAACATGCTGATATTATTAACAGAGAAATGCTATCTGAGTAGTTCCTTTTTGCAACATATTTTACACTGCTCTCAAATGAAATAAGAAGAGCCCTGCTGGATCAGACCAAAGCCCTATCTAGTCCAACATTGCGTTCTCACAGTGTCCAACCAGATGCCTAAAGGAAGCCCTCAAGTCAGACAGGAAGGCACAATCAGCCTCCTATTGCTTTCACGCCAGTTGTTGTTATTCAGCGATATACTGCTTCTGATGTTGTATATAATATACAACCACCATGATTAATAGTCTTGGCCAGCCTTACTTATCCTCCATGGATTCCTTTCTACCCTAACTTTATTTCACTGTTAATTAATATTAGACACTTTACAAAATAATCTAAGCATAAAAAACAGATTTTCTTCCTAATGAGGCAATTAACTCAATTCTGAAAGGAGTAGGGGTGACAAGTGGAGGGAAGGAAATGGAGAGCAAAGGATGCTTTCTTACTGAGCTTCTCTTCAGGTGCCCCTTGAATTAGGAGATAGGGATGCTTAGTGCCTTATACCCTGTGTCCAATGTTCCCACACTTCCTTATAACAGAATTTTCTTTATTTTTCTTCTGGGAATATCATTTTGATGTCTCCTGTGAGGAAGAGCTGTAGCTCATTGGTAGAGGGTGTTTTTGCATGCAGATGGTTCCACCTTCAACCCCTGATCTTTTCAGGTAGGGCTGGGAATTGCTTAAACTCCAAAGAGCTTATTCTCCTTGAAGATGGAGAGGTGTGAAAATTCAACGGCAAACATTAGGAGAATCTCTGTAGATGGGAAGCATGGTAAAATGTGTGCTTCCTGTTCCCTGAATGAGCCCAAAGACCACACTTGGCACAGTAAAGCAATGGACACAAAGGGAACTGCTTTTTTTCCAGTCATGGCTGCTACTCCTTCACCTTTGTTTTGCCTTTGGAGGAACAACTGCTGCTTGCTTGCCCAACCTGCTTTCTCCCTCCCCTGACCTTTGTTGCTTCCTCTGCTGCCGTTGCTACTTCCCACAGCTGTAGACTCAGCCTCCTGGAGGTGCGTTGGCACAA